CTTGAGAGATGGAAACAACGGGCTTGTGGCTTGGTTGACAATCACGAGTTTTTGCACAGCTTGTCCACACCTATTTATTTTTCCATACCATCGTCCTCTGTTTATTTCTACCATTTAACTATTTCGTCTATGTCAGTATCTATGGGGTCGGACTTTATGCATTGTAAAAGTTTAGGAAGATGAGAACGTTTGCGACATGCACCGTTTGCCTAAGCGGTCCGTACGAATTGAAAAATTACTACTCTCATCTTCGCACAGTTCATTTTTGGAGTGATGAGGATATGGAAAAGGAAAAATTCAGGTATCAGAGAAGCGAGTTTCCCGAGAAGGACAAATTCCAATGCTCGTTCTGCTCTAAAGTTTACTTTACACTTCATGGTTTGCGAACTCACATGGAGGTAAGATAAATTTGGATGAAGGCACCAAGTGCAAAGTTAGCAAGTTTTTAAAGTTTTTTAAAGTTTGGAAATTGGAATAAAGAAATAGGATTTTAAGAAGAGAAAATGTATAACTAAACATATTATTTCAAATCTTTCAAAAGATTTTAATGTAACAACAACATATGTCATATAGTAAACAAACAAACATAATACAATTCATACTTAAATACTTAGAATTACTAAAACAAATTCAACCATAAAAGAATTTGTAAAAAAGATTGAAGCATACCAAAAAGCATCTTATCGAATTAGGACACATATGGACATAGTAAACTTAGATCTGTAATAGAAAATGGACAAAACACAACATTACATTATTTAATTAATTATGCAAAACGTTTGTATTAAAAAGTTTTTTCCATTGAAGTTTTATGATGTAAAAACCTTTTCATAAAATACAAAGATAAACAGTCTGAATCTGAACACTTTTTCCTTCCTTCCCTTACTGATGAGCACAGAGGAAGGTTATAGAAATTCGTCTAGCCTCCGTCTAAGGGCACGTGCGAAACGGAGACTAGACTATAACTTTGATTCCCAAACCCCAAACCCCAAATACAAAGATGAAATGTTATCAAAATAATATTGGATAGAGCAATATAGACAAAATTACAAATGTTGAATGGAGCTGAAATAGATATTCTAAATAGAATAAAACAAAACAAGAAGTAAAGTGTATTAAAGTTAGCAAATTAACTAGGGAATCCCGTGTAGTCCTCACCGCTGAACAGATTGTAGCATGGCCTTGAAACTGATTTTCATTGCGCAGAAGATCGAGCTTGTGCTAGCGCCGGTAACCATATGTACCCACTGCTTCTGAGAACCGTATGCTTGTCGAGAGCAGACCCGCCCAAGTGAGTAAATCTGGTGACTAGTATCTCACAATGATGGTAAATGACAGTTGTAATTGGTGACGGTACTCTGAGGAAACTAGAAATCCGGGTTTGATTACCGGCGAGGCCAAAGTTTTGTCCATGACTCAGCCCTCAGTATCAATAGGGAGATCACCATAGGCATTCACAACGACGAGATCATTTTTGCTCTTGTGAACGTGCAAAGGGTGTCATAATATTGGCTGACGTCCACAAGTCCCTCATAGGAAATGTGCTTTGTAGAACTTCACTTTTTTCTAACAAAGCATAGCAACATAGCATGGCGTATTCGAGAACTGGAATTTTCGGCAACAACCACTTCACAATAGACGTATCTTGAGAGGGAAGGGTTACATATGTAGGCTCAAGGTCTCTGAACCAAGTTCAAGTGCAGTGATATGGAGATATTGACGACTATTTCAAACCTCAGAAAGTTGTCCAACTATGTGATTGCTTGTAGTGGTAACCTGTCTAAAATAAATAGCTTCAGCCTGTTAGAAGTCGTGGTTTTGTGAAATCCATTTGCAGAATCCAAAAACTTTTCCAAATTGCAGATACAGGGGCATCCTAAATGGTTTACCTTAGAAGGCACGAACTTTGAAGAAAATGAAACTGCTCACGCACTCTGAGACTTTCTTCCCCCTTCTAAGGCTTATTGTTAGTCCCGTTTTCAATAAAAATGAGATGTTGTATGCGCTTTCAAATGCATGGCCATCACAATGCCACCGTAGCCTGCAGTAGCGCCTTTCAGTAACTCCTGCAAGAATTGTGACCATTGTGAAGACTAAAACTTTGCTTGTCAAGTTGACTCGTTACAGGGAGAACAATTTTTTTTGCCTCTCACCCCTTCTGTAAGAGAAACAAAGGTATTTCAATTACAACTTGCAAGGAAAACGATGTGCAACAATGAATTGTGGCCAAAAACAAAAGTTAATAATCAAAGCGCACTGATCGGCT